CTTGAATCTTGAATCTTGAGTGTAGAATACTTGACTTAGGCCTATTGTATAGGCCATAGCCGTTCTCAGCTCGTCAACAGCGCCACACTGTGTTGAAACCTCACACTTTTGTACTTGGCGGCAGATTAAACTCCAGGTTCAACCTTGATCCATCCTTGATCCAGGTAAAAATGCACTGAACTCCTGCATCGAGGTTCAACTAATTAAACTATTTAAAAAATTTCAACTCAAAAATGTTTTGTTCAACTAATTAATATTTTATCCACAATAGTTTAAATAGAATTATTTTTTGCGAGTTGAATTCTTTAAAATCTCAAAATAGCTAATTTTGTGAGTTGAAATCTGTAAAAGATAACATGCATGAAATAGCGGAAATACGTGAATGTGTTTCATCAGATTCTCATCATCATCTTCATCATTCTGGCCGAAAGTGCGAGCTTTCAACACAGTGTGGCGCTGACTTGAGTCGATCTGCTGAAAGTGAGAATGGCATGTCAAGTATTTGAAAAATTTAATACTGAAAATCAAAGGTGAAAATGAGGTGAAAAATCTGGGGTCAGAGGCATTTTCTGAGGGTAGGTCGGTGACCAAAAACAAGCAATTTTTTTACTTGGCCTAAGAAATCTCTCAACCTACCCCTTATGACTATGCCAGTTTAAGTTAGCCTTTTGACTAAAATCTGTCTGACTGAGATTGTGACTTCAGTGGTACGCCCCTGAAAAGAATTCGACGATCAGCCTGCATGAAATCATCACAGGCCTACAATGTATAATTTATTTTGATAATTAGATTAAAATAGACATTTCCTTGAGTTTTATTTTCATTGCTTTCATTTTTCTTTCATTTTAGAGAGCCCTTCCGCATGATTATGAATATCATGTGTGCAACTTTAAAGCACTGGAAAATGAAAATGGATTTCATTCAGAATTCCGGGTCAATATTGGAGATGCGGATGGAGCCCAAAAATGGTTGAAGGAGTACACAGAAACAAGCAAGGTTACATTCCGAGTACTGGCCACAAAGCCTGTTAAGGTTCCGAAGACTAATCTCTGGAAGACGTTCTATCGCTGCCAACATAATACACTGCCTCGGACATCAACAGCTAACTTGAAAAGAGGATGCAAGAACACACAGTGTACTGCACAAATGGATTTAACAGTAAAGAAGTTGCCAGGGAAGCGTTGTAGGTAAGTTGCGTACAGTACAAAAGTTCATCCTGAAGGAGTGCCAAAGGAGATAACAATAATAACATAGACATACATCTAATTAAAAATGTAGTATACCGCATTGAACAATTTATGTGCGGTAACACATTTTTTCCCAGAGTTTTGGAGGGGTATATTGTGAAAATATTTGGTTATTATAGGTGATCTCTCTTGCTGGACACTAAGGTACACAGGTAATATTAATAATTAAACTTATTCCTAAAAAACGACTTGTTTGGAAAATTTGGCAGTCGAGATTAATTCTATGCTTCTTTTTCAGGGCTAAAACAGTAGCCCCTCATCTTCCCACTTTTCCAATGGTTGTGCGACTCCATCACGTTCATAATCATCTGATTGAGAGCGCTGATACCCTGAAATTCAGAGATGTTTCGGAAGCAACAGTGACCAAATTCAAAGACCTGTTTTCCAGAGACCACTCCCCATCCACTGCCTTGAATACCCACAAGCTTGATATGCAGTTGGAGTATGGATCTGACTACGTTTATGAGGCTGCTGATAGGTCAAAGTGTCCTGACTTAAGGTTCTGCTATACGTAAGTTTATTTTTAGATGGTTTTCTTTTGCACATGTTCATGCATACTAACATGTCGTGTACAATGTACTCACAGTCACAGGGTTCATACTGGTTTTGGAAATTGTAGGAAATGGCAGTCCTTTCCAGGACCTAAGTCTTTAAAAACATGATAGTCTTCTCAGTGATGATCACAGGCATGACTAGTGATAGTTCGTAATACAGGTGGCTACTTGACTTGTTCGCGACTCTTTTTTTGGCAGCCGGTGAGCATTATTCATTTGGAATTAGGTTTTAGTGCTTTCGAATAGTGCGGAAATTCTGCCCACCCCAAACTGTACGAAAACCGTGTTGTGCAATTTACGACGAGCTTACAGTTACAGTACTCCATGTCATAGTGATCTGTAGTGAGTTGATTGGCAAGATTCTGAGAATCATGGCTGAGTGATACGTATGTGAGTAGCTAGTATCACTGATCTAACGAACTTGGCGAATTTTTATTGAAACTTTTTTGATACAAATCATTTGTTATCACACACCAACACAAATAAAATAAAAATGAAAGCTGTGGGAACTGGAGCCAGACATGTGCTGTGCATAAATTGGAGTGAACAAATGAGTGAGTGTGGACTTTGTTGAAAATTTTAGGAATGCTATTGTGAATGATCAGTATTGTTCTTATATTCCATTCCAGCTTGTACGAAAAGCATTCAAGAAAAGCTATGGAGCTACATCTGTTGAAAGATGATCCTGGACTTAGAGGGTGCCGATTCAAGTCATACAATGGAGGTGAGCAGGGCGAGGAGTGTGCCAAATTAGAACAGATAGACAATAAGCTTGTAATCGCAATTTGCACACCATTGATGAAACGAATTCATCAAAAGCATGAATACAGTGGCGAACTAGTGTTTATTGACGCTTCGGGGGGTATGGACAGGTATGATTGCCGCATTTTTATGCTTTTGACGCATAGTTCAGCTGGAGGATTGCCTTTGGGGTGTCTGATTACGACGTCAGAAACACGGGAGTGCATCACTGCTGCACTAAAACTGTTTCTAGGCATTGCTCCTAAAGATGCATTTTATGGGCGTGGAACATTGGGCCCTCTAGTGTTCATATCTGATGACAGTAATGCAGAAAGGAGTAGTCTTCGTGATGTCTTCCCGCAGGCAACATTGATATTGTGTGTGTTCCATCTTCTCCAGGCCATTTGGAGATTCTTGTGGGAGGCGAAAAATAGCATCCAAAAGGAACATCGTCCTCATCTGCTATTTCTTGTCAAAACCATGACGTACGCCACCTCAAAGGAGGCACTAGAAGCAGCCTACACCGAACTAACAAACAGTGATGTGGCAGAAATGTACCCGAAGTACATCCAACATTGCGAGCATTTGTATGATCGTCGTGCAGAATGGGCCCTATGTTATAGGGAAGAATTACCCGTCAGAGGCAATAATACAAAAAATTACGCTGAGGCGGCCATGCGCATCTTGAAGGACAAAGTATTTGAACGAGTTAAAGCATACAATGCAGTGCAGTTGCTAGATTTTTTGCTGACTAGGATGACAAGTTACTATGAGAGGCGGTTGACTGACCTTGCGAATGGTTGTATTGATGTCACTGTGTCGCAGAAGTACCTCCCTGGCGGTGCTGTCATCCCAAAAGAGATGGTGACAAAAACTGGTCCTGATACCTTCGAATGCAGAAGTCAATCAAAAGAGGATGTGACTTACTACATTGAAATGTCAATTTCACTGTGCACTTGCTGTGCTGGTATCAATGGTGCACCTTGTAAGCACCAATATGCTGTTGTCCGCCATTTCAATGTCTCATCGTTGAATTTTCTTCCCCTCAATGATCCAGTGATGCGTCAACACTTGCTGTACCTTGCTACAGGAATGGAAAATGTCCGTCCTGGTTGGTTTACCAGCCTTACAGGAGGTGTCAATCATAAACCAGTAGAACTTGAAGAGGACAATGCTGTTGATTCGTGTGACAATGTTTTCCTATAAGTGATGATGATATGGATGTGCCACTTAGCGATGCTCCTGGTACCAGTATGTCGACCAGTACTAGTGTACACTCACTAAATTTGCAGAGACAGCTGCAAAACAAGTTCAACGACTGGAATAATAACAGCATGAGTATGGACCAGGTAACAACGGTTACTGAGGCAAATGGTGAGAGTGAAAAGGTTGCTTCACTGGAATCGGCACTCATGGAGTGCACTAAAAATCTTGTGTCTATTCTGCGAGACAATCCAGAAGAACTCATTGGACCAATAGACACATTTGTAACTCAATACAATTCCCTCAAGACTAATACAGCTCTTGTAAGTGCATTAAAAACCTTTGGGAAGTACACAGGTGCAAGTTTGTCCCTAACTGAGGCCAGAAAGAAGAGACTTAACCGAAAAAGGGGTACCGCCATTGGGGTGCAGCCTGCTGCTGTGAGTCGCCGGACACATGTCCTTGGGGGTCGCAGATGCCTCCAAACCGGTCGCAAGGTGAATGGTGTTTGCGAATCGCGCAAACGCATGATGAAGGACACTTGTCAGTTGATGCCAAAGAAAAAGCCAGGAAAAGCTCCCCATTCTCTCAGTCAGTGCGTCACAAACAATGAAAATATTGGAAGAAACAAGTCTTCTAAGTGGTAGAACATGGAAAAGTTATTGAGTGTGTGCTGAAAATGAGATTTATGTCAATGGTAGCCCACAGGTTTTTAGAATTTCTTTAATTTACTACAGTGCTGTCTGACATAAAATTTACAGGGATCTTATTCTGTCTCCTCCCGTTTTGCAAAGACACAATTACGACCTGTGCAATCCATAAGTACTAGTACTTGCTGCCATCTGTAAAATGATGATCTCACGTGGAAGACTCTTGAGTAAGAGATCAATACCTCATATTGATTTCATTTAATTGAACTTATATATAGATTGTGAACCACTGTACAAGTGTAGTTATATTTTCCAACATCTCTTACAAAAGGTTCCAGCGAGTCTATGAAGGGCCGTAACCTGTATAACCAGTTGAATCACAACACTGGTATGTACATTTTTCAATTAAAATTGGCATCTCATCAAGTACATGTAAGGAACTATAAGGAACTCTATTTGTTATACTCTTGTATGTAGGTACAATTAATGTATAAGGTAAATGAGAAATATTGACCTGGAATTTTTATCGAAATCAGATATCTTTTTAAGAATAGCTGTAACACTGTTGTCATTATAAGTTGCAACAAAATTTATGTAATGATGATTTGTAGAAGAGGTAAACAAGAAGTTTATTGATTAATAAAGTTTTTATTTTGGAATAGCTTTTTACTGGTTCTCATTACCTGTTCTTGGTGTTACATGTGAGTGAAACTGAGATCCAGCAGAATTGATTTTCCATGAGGGGATTTATGCCATAAAAGTTAATTCTGATGAATTTTGGTCTTCTCCGAATGTGCTGAATAACAAAGCACATACAGTACACCTAAAGCACATGGAGTAATCGCGGTTATAGCGTGGTTGGTATAATGCATTATCTTTAATTTATAATCATAATAATTGTAAACGTCACTCTTTAAAACAAAGGGCATTACCTTGATCATAGCAGTAGGCTTATAGAGACAGCCAATATATTGCCAGGGTTACAACCACTTGGAACTGTTTGTTTAACTGTCAAAAGAACAGGAGGACACCACTTAAATCAGAATCGACCTTATTTTGCCCAAAATAATGAGGCTTTGCATTCTCTGCCAGGTGGGTAGGCCTTTGGCAGTAGTGATTCCACTACACCCGCAAGATTTCTGAACAGCAGTGCATGTAGATGCCAGAAATCTATGATATATAGGACATCCACGATTAATTTAATCAATTTAATGATAAAATTAGAAAGAAAAAATGTTTTCAAAAAATAACCCTTAGTAGGATTCGAACCTCCCTTCACCTGTTCACGTGCAAACTCAGAAATATTTGTCAACAAACACTCCACATATGGTAGCCCACAGGTTTTTAGAATTTCTTTAATTTATTACAGTGCTGTCTGACATAAAATTTACAGGGATCTTATTCTGTCTCCTCCCGTTTTGCAAAGACACAATTACGACCTGTGCAATCCATAAGTATACTAGTACTTGCTGCCATCTGTAAAATGATGATCTCACGTGGAGGACTCTTGAGTAACAGATCAATACCTTATATTGATTTCATTTAATTGAACTTATATATAGATTGTGAACCACTGTACAAGTGTAGTTATATTTTCCAACATCCCTTACAAAAGGTTCCAGCGAGTCTATGGAGGGCCGTAACCTGTATAACCAGTTGAATCACAACACTGGTATGTACATTTTTCGATTAAAATTGGCATCTCATCAAGTACATATAAGGAACTATAAGGAACTCTATTTGTTATACTCTTGCATGTAGGTACAGTTAATGTATAAGGTAAATGAGAAATATTGACCTGAAATTTTTATCGAAATCAGATATCTTTTTAAGAATAGCTGCATGTAACACTGTTGTCATTATAATTAGTTGCAACAAAATTTATGCAATAATAATTTGTAGAAGAGGTAAACAAGAAGTTTATTGATTAATAAAGTTTTTATTTAGGAATAGTTTTTTACTGGTTCTCATTACCTGTTCTTGGTGTTACATGTGAGTGAAACTGAGATCCAGTAGAATTGATTTTCCATGAGGGGATTTATGCCATGAAAGTTAATTCTGATAAATTTTGGTTTTCTCCGAATGTGCTGAATAACAAAGCACATACAGTACACCTAAAGCACACGGAGTAATCGCGGTTATAGCGTGGTTGGTATAATGCATTATCTTTAATTTATAATCATAATAATTGTAAACGTCACTCCTTAAAACAAAGGGCATTACCCTGATCATAGCAGTAGGCTTATAGAGACAGCCAATATATTGCCAGGGTTACAACCACTTGGAACTGTTTGTTTAACTGTCAAAAGAACAGGAAGACACCCCTTAAATCAGAATCGACCTTATTTTGCCCAAAATAATGAGGCTTTGCATTCTCTGCCAGGTGGGTAGGCCTTTGTCCAGTACACCCGCAAGATTTCTGAACAGCAGTGCATGTAGATGCCAGAAATCTATGATATATAGGACATTCACGATTAATTTAATCAATTTAATGATAAAATAAAAATAAAAAAAGTTTTCAAAAAATAACCCTTAGTAGGATTCGAACCTCCCTTCACCTGTTCACGTGCAAACTCAGAAATATTTGTCAACAAACGCTCCACGTGCATATGTAAAATACCAACTGCGATTGACCAATCAGAAGGCTAGAAATATTTCCTATACCAACTGCGATTGACCAATCAGAAGGCTAGAAATATTTGCTATGGCAATCCTGTTTGGGAATTGTAAATTCGCCCCCCGGACGCCCCGCGGGTCCCTCTTTGCCCATTTCTAGGTTTTCATAACGAATTTATATACATATAAGTAAACCTTTATCAGAAAAACTAGCCCTAAAATAATTGGAATGAAATTTTTTATGGCACTTTGAAATTAAAGGGTTGGGGTCCGGACCACCGAACCCCCCCCCCTAGATCCGCCCCTGTACGAGGTTTGGCTTTATATTGAAGGATTCACCTTTCACCCATATATAGGGTGTCTAACACAATAAGAACTTAGTTTCCGTGTCTTGATCGTCGTCGTAGGTGAGTGTTCATTATGGTGCATATACACGCAGTGGATAACGACGACATGAACACGTAAACCCTTTGGGCGAGGTTTGTGTGCTCTTGGTAACGTCTATGTGATACCATATGTCTTGTGAAAGCAAACAACAATTTAGTAGCACGTACAGCACCTGTACACACAGACGTCCCATGTTCGGAGAAATCATGTATAGCTACATATCACTGTATCACTGATTTCCAATGTTGTGCGTTCTTTCCAGGTTCATACATGTGCCATGACTTACTACCTTAGGACGACGACATTGACATCGTGGTAAAGGTTGGCGAGCGACGTCACGCCGAGAAGTTATTGCTCAGCCTAGCACCGGAATACACAATCACAAACCATACCGAAAAAAATACAACAAGTTTCACCTGAAGAGCACACCGAAGAAGTGGAAGTACGCGTGGTCATGGCCCTTTATTGACATATCCTTCTACGACGAGAATTCGACGCATGTCTGGGAGCACCACAGGCGCAAGACACCACATCGAGTTTACCCGAAAGCGATGGTATTCCCATTGCATCAGCGACCCTATGGCCCATATATGTTCCCTTCCCCTCGGGACACGCTTGGCTTTTTGAAGCACTCTATCAATGGCTCCAATGATAACAAGAAAGTATTCACATGCGGTAATCAGGGCTGGCGTCACCAATCTGAGACAAGTTTCAAGAAGAAGCCAGTATCCTGCAAAGAAATCCTGAAAGAATATCCCCATGTTTATAGACGGAAAGCCACCGAAGGGGGCGCCGTTACAGAAACATTGATGCTAAATGGCACAGCTGTTTATTCGCGTGTCATAGCGGAGCCGGATCATCTAATCACCAACGGCGCTTATAGTTTCGAATTAGAGCCATTGACGAGCTCTACAAAGACGAACATTCCGATAAATATCACTGCGCATAGCTAAACGGTCTCTCTAACGCAGCCATTTGATCACGTTGACTGTGATAAGTACCCTCTATGTACGTTGCCGTTATTATGTGCGCTTTGTCGCCTTAGTTATATATTTACGCATCGAAATCTTCCTTTTCAAACTTAATTTTACTACGAACAGCTCTGATAAAGTAAGTTATCCCTCTACAACCGCGGGGGTCACAAATTTACATACGGCCTGGAATTCAGTAAGCATATTCTTTGTTAAATGTTAAAACGAATACTACTATTTTCCGTTTATATCGAAAAATGTCATCATGATGACGCTGGGTGCTGCCGATGCTGGGGTTGTTGATAGGATTGAGCCGATGCTTTTGAAACGCACGACATCAAAACCGCATGATATTTAATCAAGTTAAATTACCTTTATTTACATTTGTCAGACAAAAATATAAAATTATATATTTATATAATAATTTGAGTAGTGTCGTTCTGTTTGTT